TTCGTTTTGGTGTTTGTGTGATTCTTTGTCTTTATGTATTTATATTGCTGTTTGTCTCTGTCTGTCAATGTCTGTCTGTCTATGTCTGATTCTCTGCTTGAGTGTGTCTGCATTTTTCCAATTATTTGTGTCTGGTAGTTTGCTTGTTACTCTTTTCAACCCTTCCCTAGGAGTTTGGCATTGAGAACTTGCGATACTAATTGTAATGTAATGTTTTATATATACATACGTACAACTATATGGCTCGTATTATATATATATTATTATAGCTCGTTTGTTAATTAAAAAAAAGTTATTGATGTAATAATGAAAGTTTAATGACTGTATAAGTATTCAAATTTAATGGCAGAATATTAAAACACATTTAGAAATGTGCGTTTCAATGAAATGCTAAACAAACCTACTCTACGGGTGTATTGTATGTAAATTGTAAATGGAATTCAAATCACAGAAGTCACACATACACACACACACACACACATACACACACGCACACACACACATATATATATATACACACACACACACATAAACCATATCTACATATTTACATTGAGTTAACCCGACACCAACTAAATGCATCTATAATGACATTAAAATAACATTTTCATTTGGTTGTATCAAGGAAGGAACTTTTTGCTGTGAGGGCCGCATTGAGAATTATTTTACCTTTGAAGGGCCGCATATGCAACTTAAACAGCAAATTTTTTCGACCCGGGGCCCGGGGGAGAATTTTTTTTTTTGACAAACCAAGACCTCGCCGGAATGAATAAATGAATGAATGAATGAAGGAAGGAAGGGATGAATGAATGAATGACTGAAAGAATGCACGAATAAATGAATGAAAGATGAACGAACTAACAAACAGACAGACAAACAAACAAACAAATAAAAAACAAATTTAAGTGTGTAATCTATATAGTTGACATTGAACTCGCTATATCAAAAACAAGCCTTAAATTTCTCATTTGCATCTCATTTGCATCTCATTAACATATCATTAACATCGTCATCTCATACAAAATTTATACATAACTAATACAAAGTTTATACGAAATTAATACAGATTTCTGCTTAGCATAACATTACGTCATAAATACTTATAATTCATATTTCAGTATTAACGACGCATGTTAGTGAAAATATTTATGAACCTTTTAGAAACAATTGAATAAATAGATAAGTATATAGACCTTATAAACCATAAAGTCTATTGACCATAAGGTATATAGACCATAAAGTATATAGACCATAAGGTATATAGTGTTGCGGGTTTCTTTAGATATAAGAAACAACAAGTAAGGATGTTTATAACGTATTTATTTGCGCAATACAAAATAAATGAAAACGTGTTCGGCAATGCAATTAGACAAAGAGAAGTTCGATCGTAAAATGTCGCAGAAGAAGGGCTGTAGTCTTTGTGTTGAAGCTATATATAGTAAGTCGTCACATGCTTAGATTAGGGATGTGCGGTTCAACAATATTCCGCTACCAGATCATCAGCGCAAGCTGTTGATCGATGCTAATCAAGATATCGAGATGGGAGATGAACTGTTCTTCCCGATCTTGTGGTTCTCCGGGGTGATGGAATGTTGGTGTCGATGGATCGATTTGGGTGTGCTTGTTGTCGACGTAGATGTTTCTGTTGTTGACATGTCCTCGTCCGTTGATGGAGATAGCGTTGACGTTTTTGTTGATGCTGATGTGTCGTTCGACGACGGAATTAATTTTGTTGAAGGTGTTGTAGAAGGTGGTGTCAGCGCTGTGGTCGTTGACATGGGTGACGGTATTGATGGTGCCGGTGAGTATGCGGGTTTGAGGCGGTCTATTGCCACCGTGTCCCTATGCCCCTTTTTGTCAATGACGAAATATTTTGGGTTCTACCACTGTGTAGGGTCCCTGGTATGGAGGTTGTAGTGGTGAGCCGTGAGCATCCGTACGAATAAAAACCTGTTCTGTAGTGAAAAGGTCTTTTGGAATGTAACTCACATTTGTACTTGTTCTTGGTTGTGTTGCTTTTAGGGTCTCCGCCCAGCATTTGAGTTTTAATGCATAGGTGTGTACATCGGTTGTCTCTGGCCGTGGGTTTGGAAAATCTCCGGAAAGGCGGAGTGTTGTACCGTAAACAAGTTCTGCTGGTGACAACTTTAGGTCTTCCTTCTCCGTTACACGACTGCCGAATAGTGTCACTGGTAATACATCCGTCCATTTGTCTGAACCGTGAGCCATAAATGAGGCCTTAAGCTGTCTATGCAATCGTTCCACCACACCGTTGGCTGCTGGGTGGTAGGCGGTGGTGTGAATATGTTTAATGTTTAGTAACTGGGCGAATCTCTTGAAAGATAAAGATGTGAACTGGCTGCCTCTGTCTGTTGTAATGGTTTCTGGGACTCCATACAACGAAATCCAGTTTGAAAATAATTTATCTACTATTGTTTCCGTTAGAGTATTTTTGATGGGAATTGCTACTGGCCATCTGGTGAAACGATCGACACACGTTAAAATGTGTGTGTGTCCATCTGATGAAGACATTGGTCCGACTAAATCGATGTGTACATGCTGAAACCTGCTGCTTGGTGGAGGGAATTCTGCTGGACGTGAAGCTGTATGTCGATGTACTTTGCTGCGTTGACATTGCAAACACTCTCTGCACCAATTACGGATGTCTTTATCAATGTGGGGCCAAACATACCTGGCTCTAATTATTTTCGATGTTGCTTTCGCTCCTGGATGTGACAGGGAATGGAAATTCAGAAAAACTGATTTCCGCATGCTTGTTGGAACTAGAGAACGAGGGGTGCCTAACGAGGTGTCGACGACGATATTGTTTTCTGAGTTTTTGACTGGAATTATGCTGATTTTTAGTGAGTCTGTGTTGTCAAGGAGTGTTGCATCCTCCTCCTGTTCTTTCGACATCTCCTCCAGGTTAATTGCTTTTGGCGTTATCGTGGCTACCTCTGTACGTGATAGCGCATCAGCTACAACGTTGTTTTCTTCTTTTACGTGTCGAATGTCTGTTGTGAATTGTGAGATGTAATCCAGGTGTCTGATCTCTCTTGGTGTTAAACGACTTGAATCTGAACGTAAGGCAAACGTCAATGGTTTATGATCAGTGAATATTGTGAACTCTCGACCTTCGAGGAAGTGTTGAAAATGGCGGACAGCTGAATACACTGCCAGCAGTTCTCGACCAAATGTACTGTAGCGGGTCTGCGCTGGGTTAAATTTTTGCGAAAAAAGGCTATAGGTCTTGCAATCTCCTGACTTTTCTGTTCTAGTACTGCTCCCGCAGCAACGTCTGAAGCGTCTGTGAAAAGTTGAAAGGTGCCTTTCTCTTGAACGTACCATAACTTGGTTGCCGCTAGTAATGCCTGTTTGGCCTCTCTAAAACTTTGTTGCTGTCCTTTGTTAAATTTTATGGTTTTCAATTTGCCAGTTAAAATGTCAGTGAGAGGTGACAACATCGTTGGGCATTTAGGAATGAATCGACGGTAAAAATTGATCATTCCGATGAATCGGCGTAGTTGCTTGTCAGTCGTTGGTTCAACAAAATTGATGATTGCCTGTACTTTGTTGTCGAGGGGTCTAATGCCTTCACTGTCGAGTTGGTGCCCCAGGAATGTTGTAGATGATTTGGCCCATTCGCATGTGGATGGGTTGATGGTTAGTCCGTTGTCTTGCAGTCGTTGAAGGACTTGTTCTACATGGCTTCTGTGTTCATCGAGGGTTTTGCTGGCTATTAGTATGTCGTCAATGTATGCCTGGACAAAAGTTAGCCCTCTCAAAACACTATCGATGAACCTTTGAAAAGTCTGTGCGGCATTTCTCAGCCCGAACGGCATCTTCAAAAATTCAAACAGACCGAACGGTGTTGTTACCGCAGTTTTTTGGATATCTTCTTCTGCCACCGGTATCTGGTGGTAAGCCCGTACGAGATCTAGCCTCGTAAACCATCGCACCTGTTCAAGGCTGGGAGCGATATCATGGATGTGTGGAACTGGATATCGATCAGGTGTGGTCCTGTTGTTGAGTTTCCACAAGGCCTCCAATCTCCTGATGACTTTGCAACCATATGAAGTGGTGATGCCCAAGGACTGTTTGATGGTCATATGATTCCGAGTTGACACATGTATTCGAATTCGGCTTTGGCGGCTCGCAAATTCTCTGGGTGCAATCGTCGTAGGGCCGTATGATGTGGTGGTCCAGAAGTCACAATGTGGTGTTGTATCTTGTTTTCATTTTTGTTGTTGTTGACAGGCATCGTTAATTTAGGAAATTTGTCAATGATTTTACCAAAGTTGTTGTCCGAAGCAATGTATGGTTTGACGCCAGAGATTATATTGGAGCGTTCAAACAACCCCCTGTATCTGTAACGTCGTGATGTTGTCAACAATTTTTTGTCTCCTCATGTTGACTGCAATATCGAAGTGTGACAAGAAGTCGGCACCCAATATTGCCTGTGTGACGTTTGCGATGATGAAAACCCATTTGAATTTACGACGTAAACCGAGGTCGATGGTTACGAGCTGTTGTCCAAATGTGCCTCAATAGTTGTGATGGCGTTCTGTCTTCCATGGCCACGCCTCGGAGCAACGTGCGCAAATTTTCTTCGTCTGAAACCGAATACCTCTGCGTTAACACGCGCTTCAGTGAGGTGTAAGTTTGTGCCGACGCCAATTCCGTCTCCACATCTATGATGACATCCATGGGTAGGCTTTCGACCAGCGTGGGGTACCATTCATCTTCTTCTGAGAAACTTCGGCCCTTAAGCACATTTTCAAAATATGTGAACCACGCTTTGGGGTTCGCCGTGCTGAATGTGTTTAATTGGAGTGGGGCTCTCGTCGTTGTTCTCTTTGTCGTGGTTTCGCAAGCCATCGCGTTCGGGGTCACCAATTTGTTGCGGGTTTCTTTAGATATAAGAAACAACGAGTAAGGATGTTTATAACGTATTTATTTGCGCAATACAAAATAAATGAAAACGTGTTCGGCAATGCAATTAGACAAAGAGAAGTTTGATCGTAAAATGTCGGAAGAAGAAGGGCTGTAGTCTTTGTGTTGAAGCTATATATAGTAAGTCGTCACAAGCTTAGATTAGGGATGTGCGGTTCAACAATAGACCATAAAGTATATAGACAATAAGGTATATAGACCATAAAGTATATAGACCATAAGGTATATAGACCATAAAGTATATAGACCATAAGGTATATAGACCATAAAGTATATAGACAATAAGGTATATAGACCATAAAGTATATAGACCATAAGGTATATAGACCATAAAGTATATAGACCATAAGGTATATAGACCATAAAGTATATAGACAATAAGATATATAGACCATAAAGTATATAGACCATAAGGTATATAGACCATAAAGTATATAGACAATAAGGTATATAGATCATAAAGTATATAGACCATAAAGTATATAGACAATAAGGTATATAGACCATAAAGTATATAGACCATAAGGTATATAGACTATAAAGTATATAGACCATAAAGTATATAGACCATAAGGTATATAGACTATAAAGTATATTGACCATAAAGTATATAGACCCTAAAGTATATAGACCATAAAGTATAGAGATATATTAGCTACGGTCTCAAACAGCACTTGAGAATAGTCTAATGGTATCGGCGATTGGTCTCACCGTTGCTGAGACGATCTTCGGTTGCAAGAAATCCTAGCTTATCACATGCTATGTTGGTTGAAGAAATTTCATATGTGTGTGTGTGTGTGCGTGTTTGTGGATGTGCGTGTGTGTGTGTTTGTGTTGATGATATGCCGAAGAATTAATTATTAAGAATTATTTTAGTAATAATTTTTAATAATTAATTTTTACCCACAACTAAACAACAACCACCAACAACACACTACACCAAAACCCAAAACAAACCACAAACTCACAACGCCACACTACAAGAAATCACACCACACCACCACAAACCACACCATACCACCACAAACCACACCATACCAACATAAACCACACCATACCACCACAAACCACACCATACCACCACAAACCACACCACAGCAAACCACAACCACATCTCCACAAACCACAAACCTCTTAGGTCAGATTCCTGGAAGCGCAGAACCGAAAGCTAGCCGACGAGCTGGAAAAGCTGAAAGCTAAATGGGGCAAAGAGACGACTCAGATAAAAGCCATGTACCAAGCTGAGCTGGATGAAGCTAGAAGGCTGCTGGACGAAGCTGAGAAAGATAAAGCCAGGCTGGAGATCAAAGTAGCTTCCCTAGAGGAGCAGCTAGAAGAGTCAAGACAAAAGTTGGTGATTTTTTTTTCATTATGGCGCGTTGGCGTAATGGTTAAGGTGCCTGGTGGTGATGGTGCAGTGACCTGGTTTGAAAGCAAAGAAATTCTCGTCTGTGATATGCACGTGTGTATTATATATATATATATATATATATATATATGTATATGATATGTTTTTATATATGTATAATATTTAATATATATATATATATTTGTGTGTGTGTTTATATATATGTATAAAATATTATAAGATACATGAAACAATTATGAAAAAAATCAAAAAAAAAATAAAGAGGTCATCTCCAAAGAGCGCCATCTCTCCTGACGAACAACAACTGCACTAGTAAACCAGAACCGATAATGGATCATAGCCACCTAATATATTCGTTCAAATGTAACATTGGTTAGTGTGGTCACCATAATTCCGAATACATTGGCATGACGACGACCTAGCTGTTGTGAAGACTCGCGATGCACGTACAAACTGGCGCTATAAAGAATAACACTAAAGAGAAACACAAAACTAAAATTATTAGACAAATCCTGGACCAGAATGTTGAAATCTTACATTACAATAACGACCATTATAATTTACGACTAGCCGAGCTAATATTCATAGTGCAAAGACATCCGATAATAAATATTCAACAAGGGACAATTGGAATTCTTCCTACGAATAAATTTAGAAGCAGAGGGACCGTCGATAATAATGACACGTAAAATTTTTATATTTAGCGAAGTCTAAGATTGTAAAGCTAGGTATTCACTTAAAAGAAACAAGAAATCAACAAAGTAGAGTAGAGACACAGTATATATGTATGTATATCAAATCAAATCACTTTTATTCAATCAAACAAAACAAAAAGCATGAATGACTCGGAGACCAAAAAATGAAAATTAATTCTTGTGGGCTTGGCCACCGTGCAACTCAAAATATCATAGCTTCTATAATATAATTATAATATATTTATAAAATTATTATAATTATAAAATTATAATAGCTTCTCCATGATAACGCCACGAGAATAAATTAGAATAAGGATGAAATAGGAGAAAAATGTATCAATGTTAATGAAATATACACACATATATACATACATATACATATCAAAAATTCAATGCTACTTTCAATTTCAATTTTGTTGAACAATGTTGAAAAAAGTTTAACAAAGTTGAACAATGTTGAAAGAAGTGTTGAATTTTTAAAATGTTACCAATAACATATACATATATGTACATATACATTATTATCCTTTAAAAACAGAATATTTTCGTAATTAAAAAATTTTTCAGTTTATTCTTAAAAAGATGCAAAGTGTTACAATCTTTAATTTCTTGTGGATATATGTGTATGTTATTAAATATCATTAGGTTATACTCATGTAAAAGTCGTCAATCAGTATATAGCAATGTGCGTGCGTGTGTGTGATGTGTGTTTGTGAGTGTTTATTTTGTGTGTGTGCAAGTATGTGTGCGTGTGTGTGGCGTGTGTGGTGTGTGTGTGAGTGTTTATTTTGTGTGTGTGCAAGTATGTGTGCATGTGTGTGGCGTGTGTGGTGTGTGTGTGAGTGTTTATTTTGTGTGTGTGCAAGTATGTGTGCGTGTGTGTGGCGTGTGTGGTGTGTGTGTGAGTGTTTATTTTGTGTGTGTGCAAGTATGTGTGCGTGTGTGGCGTGTGTGGTGTGTGTGTGAGTGTTTATTTTGTGTGTGTGCAAGTATGTGTGCGTGTGTGTGGCGTGTGTGGTGTGTGTGTGTTTGTGCGTGTGTGTGTGTGTGTGTGCAAGTATGTGTGCGTGTGTGTGCAAGTATGTGTGCGTGTGTGTGGCGTGTGTATGTGTGCATGTGTGTGGCGTGTGTGGTGTGTGTGTTTGTGCGTGTGTGGTGTGGGTGTCTAGCTTTTAATTGATAGCATACTTAGCGATAAAAAGAAAATTAATAAAACAATATTGTTGATTGTGAAGGTTGATGACGATGATGAAGAAGAAGATGATGATGGTTATGATGATGATGATAGTTATGATGATGAAGAAGATGATGATGATAGTTATGCTGATGATGCCTGTAACTATTATAATAGAGAAGAAGTTATTTGTACTGTTTTAATAATACTTACTTCATCATCATCATCACCATCATCGTCACCATCATCATCATCGTCGTCTTCGCCATCATCATCACCACCACCATCATCATCGTCAACATCATCATCGTCGTCGTCATCATCATCATCGTCGTCAACTAGTTCCTACTTGTTTCGCTTGCACTCATTTCGGGATTGGTTAAAAAATTCAATTAAATCCATTGCGTTTCACATCAGGTTCTGGTTCTCTCTTTATCTTCGTCCCTCCCTCTCTCTCTTCCTCTCTGTTTCTCTCTCTCTCTTTCTCTCACTCTTCCATTTTATCCTCTTCTTTTGACTCTTTTATTTGCATTTTTTCTTTCTCTCAATGTTTCTGTCATTTTTGCAATTTTTTTACTTTCTCTCTTTTTTTCTCTTTCTCTTTCTCTCTCTCTTTCTCTCTCTCTCTTTCTTTCTTTCTTTCTTCATCTTTCCATTACTACTATTTCTGATATATCTGTTTATAACATTTTCTAGTGATTTATTCTTCCATTTTTAAATGTTTTTTCCTCATTCAATCGCTCACTTACTCACTCACTCCCTCACTCACTCACTCACTCGCTCGCTCACTCACTCACTCACTCACTCATTCATTCATCCATTCATTCCAGTAGAGATGAATGCATAAATAATTTAGCATGACAAATTTTCAAACTCGAGTGATGCCGATGATGATGACGACGACGATGACGATGATGATACTAAAATAAATTAAAACATTTATTACTAAGAAGAGTATTTATACTTTTTAATTTATACTGGAGTGAATGGATTACACGGTCTGGCCAAGATGTTTTAAAGATGGGTGAGACCAGATGGCTTAGCGGTCGAGACGTCTGGTTCTGCTGTTGCATTTGCCAGAGATGGGGTTGGAATGCAGGGTGATCCTTTGCTAATCCATCACGTGGAGTGGTGTTGAATGGTGTGGTTTTTGTGTGAGTTTGTCTTCTGTGGTTTGTGTGTGTCTGTGTGTTGTGTAATAATAATGAAAATAGTAATTAAAGAATTATATCTGTTAAATTGAAAAAACCTGATTCTCTCTTTGTCAGCAAGCAATAAATTAAAAAATTGGTTTTTATAGCGCTGAATTGAGAAGTTGAATTCTGTTAAAATCATTCTTCCATATTTAAAGAATATAGCATTATATTATGTCGTATTGTATTGTTTTGTATAGTATTGTATTGTATTGTATACTATTGTATTGTATTGCATTATATTGTATTGTATAGTATTGTGTTGAATTGTATTGTATTGTGTAGTATTGTATTGTATTGTATTGAATTGTATTGTATTGTATTGTATTCTATATATATGCACCATCCTTTCATTTTTTAAAATTTAGTTTCGAGAAGAAATGTTTTATAATCAGTTTCAACTACAGAATCACTCATGAAAATGTTTTGTATCTTTTTTACAAGTTAATATTCATGACGGATTTCATTCAAAATTTGAATTAATTAATTGAAAATGAGATTTTAATCGCAACTTTTTTTAAAAATGCGTCAAAATTTTAAAGTTTAAACTTCAAATAATGAAATCTATTCGTTGGTTGACTCGTAAAAATTTTCTTCATCAACATAGCTGCCAAAATTGATGTCAACATTGATGTAAACATTGTTGTCAACACTCTTGCCAACATTGTTGTTAACATTCATGCCAACATAGTTGCCAACACTGTTGTCAACATTGTTGTCAACACTGTTGCTAACATCGTTGCCAACATTGTTGTCAACCCCACAATCCTTTCCTAACTTTGTTTTCGCTTGCGTTCGAACACGATCACGGCGACATCGAGGCCAAGTATCTTAACCGCAACTCCATCCTGCGGCCACGTTAAGTTGTATGAAAGACGCAGTAAACCAAAATATCTGCATAGGTTAATTAAAACGAAATAGCTGAATAATGAAGGAAATACCTTAGCCAGATCTCAGACAAAAAAACACACAAACACACAGATTCACACTATGGCATATTTTAACTTCAAGAATAACTTAATTGCCTATATTGATAGAATTCTCAAGATAACGTTCAACTCTACACAGAATTGTATGAATTTCTAATCGATGATGTTTGTTTTAAATGGATTTCTAAAATATTTGAAGGCTTGGTCATACTTAAATTTTTACTATTCAGTAGCACTGGTCAATTGAAAAGGTTAAAGATAAAAGGTCAAATACTTTGCTCTAAAGTTCAGAGGATTCAACAAAGGGTACAAATATCTTATATGAATACATGCCAAACGACGCATCAAACACGAAGCACGTGATATGTGGGGATCTTTTTGTCGTATTCGAACCTGGTTACTGCGAAACAGCACCAGGCGACCTTAACCACTAGACCATCACACCGTCCACTGATATATAAGAAGTATCATTCTACTCTACTACTATTCCATTTAGTACAGTGTCAACACGTTCAATGAACACAATTCATTTTATAACACACCACACACACACACACACACACACATACAAACTCAACAAATAAAGTTACTTTAATTTCATTTTTATAATTATTTTTTCAACAGCACTTTTTGAAAAAAACACACACACATAAGCACATACACACACACACACACACTCACTCACTCACTCTCTCACACACACAAACACACACACATTCAGATTCGGCGATGCGACGAAAGAAATCATAGAACAACGCGAGAGAATCGAGAAACAGATCCAACAACTTGCAGACTTCGAGGCCGAAGTTGGCCTTCTAAGAAGGAGGGTGGAAATTCTGGAAAGCGATCGAGATAAGGACAAGAAGATGATCACCCAACTACAAGATGGAATCAACAGAGCCAGAATTGTAAGTTATATTTTTATTCACTTTCTTTTTCTCTTTCTTTTTCTTTCTTTTCGGTTTTTTTCCTCTTTCTTTTTCCTTTTCTTACACTCTCTCTCTTTTTTTCCGATTTCTAAATGTTCTGAAATTTGTCATTTTGACTATTAATAACGAAACGATGCTACTAATAAAACATTTCGTTTTGTTTCGTTACGCAAGGACCTGGATAACGAAACTCTGTTGCACGTTGATGCTGAGAACAGGAGACAAACCCTGGAGGAGGAGTTGGAGTTCTTGAAACAAATTCATGAACAAGTTCGTTCTTTTTTCATTTTAGGAAAACGACTTGAGCAACTAACCCCCTTGCTCTGTGTGACTCAATCTTTCATAAAATTATTTTAACCATCATCATTAATTCGATTTTACTCGCGCTTACAAGCATTAAAAAAATTTTTAACAGTTATTTGACAGTTAATTTCATTTAGGAATTAATTTCTAGACCAACACAAGCGCAGAATCGGTTCCTATCTTGAAGAAACCAAAATCAACCAAATTGATATCTAAAAAATTAATTCAATTTTTTTATCTCTTCCAATTTCAGGAGTTGAAAGAGTTGGCGGCTCTGGCCTACCGCGATACGACTGCTGAAAACCGAGAATTCTGGAAAAACGAGATGGGCCAGTGTCTGCGAGAGATCCAGCAGGTGTACGATGAAAAAGTTGACATCATGAGGGGAGAGATGGAAACCTTCTACAATCTGAAAGTTCGATTTAGTTTTCTGTTTTCTGTTTATTCTTTTCTTTTATTCTTTTAATTTGTAGCAGTAGTAATAGTGGTAGTAGTAGCAGCTCAGTAGTAGTCGTAGCAGCAGCAGCAGCAGCAGCCAGTAGTAGAAGTAGTAGTGTAGTAGAAGTAGTAGTAGTAGTGGTGGTGGTAGTAGTAGTAGCATCAGCAGCAGTAGTAGTACATGTAGTAGTAGCAGTAGTAGTAGAAGTAGTGGGTGTAGTCTTAAAATGTGTAAGTTACTCCTTTAAATAAATATCGATGAAATTAAATGGATGTTGATGTTGAAAGGTCCAAGAATTCAAGACGGGTGCTACAAGGGGTACCATCGAGACCCAACACGCAAAGGAGGAGGTCAAGAAGTTGAGGACCATCATCACTGATTTGAGAGACAAATTTGCTGAATTGGAAAACAGGGTTTGTGATTGCCTTCAAAAATTCTTTAAAATTTTCAATAAAATGATTATTTTTTCATAAATTTAAAATTACTTTACGTAAATTTATCATCTAGTCACTATGTTTTTATATAATTTTTTTAAATTCTCTTAGCTATTTATATTAACTTTGTTTAAGCTTCTACCTCGGGGAACCGGGTCTCTGGGCGCAAAACGAAGATTGATTGATTGATTTGTTTGAGTTTGTTAAAATAAGTTGAATAGAAGAATATCTGTAATGAATTTTTTTTTTGAAAAGTTTCAATAATAAAATATACCCAGACAATGGACATAAAATCAGACAACATTAAAATTAGAATTAAAATAATAAAGCCATGAATAAGTATCTTAAATGAGATTTTTATAAAAATTCTCGAGTGTTATTCAACTTTTGATGCTGTTATGGTATCTTAATTTTCAATGGCATTTCGAAACTTGCCTTCGTATGAATATTCATATAATGATATGTTATCCCAATTTCAAAGTTTCTTATTAATACAAAATATTGATCTAAACTTTGACAAACTCATATATTTAATTTTCCGACATGTGTTGCAATTCTAATACTACTACTACTACTACTATTAATATTAATAATAATTGTAATAATAATATTTCTACTACTATTACTGCTACTGCTACTACTACAACTATTTCAACTACTACTATTTCTATTAATACTGCTTCAACTACTACTGTTGCAGTATTTATTAATAATTATTATTGCTAACAATTCATAAAAGTCATCTTTTTTACATTTAAAATTGGCTCCCCAAAAATCTTCATACTCTCTTCAGACTCATACACCTAGCTGCTAGCTTAACAAAACTAGTAAATTTAGTAAAAATTTCCAAAAATGCCCCCAAAATACCCACCCCCATCACCGTTCACAGAACCTGCATCTACAACGTGAACTGGACACACTGAGACGCGAGAAAGAGGAGCGTGAGAGAGAGCTAGAAGACGAAAACAACCAATTAAAAACGGAAGTGGCGAAGTTGAGAGCCGAGATGGAAGCTATCCTGAAAGAACTTCAGGATATCATGGATACAAAATTAGGATTGGAGCTGGAAATTGCCGCTTATAGAAAATTATTGGAAGGAGAAGAGAGCAGGTTTGTATTGAATGGTTTTAGGAAAATTCGTTTCTCAAGCTTAATTGTTTCTTTTAATTTTCCAATTTTTATTCTATATTTTTGCCTTAATTTTAATCTCTTCATAAATTTTACTAGAACTGCCAGAAAATGTTTCAGAATGAGTTAAATAGTTATTAAGTAGGAATACTTCACGTTAAGAATGTCATCATCCGAGATCTATATAAAATATAAAAATGAGTAAAAATCAATAAATATTTCAAAATAAGTGCAAAAAATAAATGTCGGTAAAACAGAGAAAGCTTGTCTCAGCTGATCAACTTATCAATTTCCGGTGGTGGCGGTGCTGGCTACAAATACGCCGGTGGTAGTGGTGGTGCAGTTTCGGGAGGAGCCGCTGGAGGATTTGGTTACGGATATGGCGAAGGTGAACTCTAAAGAAGGGGCATTTAAATTTCAGAGCATGAACTTTCAACTTTCCACTACACATCAAAATTTTCGCATGCTTTCAACGTTAACATAGCTACCCGATGACTTATTTAAAAATAATAACATTGGATCGTTACATACAACTGAGATTTATACTGCTACTTAGTTACTGAATAAGAAGATTTTATTAGATAGACGATTTAGCTTATAAATTTAAAGTGGACACTTGAAGTATTTTTACCTGTCGGTGAGTTTAGTTTAAAAAATATTTTTAAAGTCAAACGCATGCTACAGATATGTGTGCAGCACAATATAGAAATAAATTTTGTGTCTTGCGAAAATGAGTTATTGTGGTTGCAGTTACAATATCATAGACATTTTTAGGTTGGCTAAGTCTCTAGATTTTTTTTCAAAATAACGGCACTTGATACAATTCATATTAATAATAATATTAAAGCCACTTAGGTGAGATTTCAGAGCTGTTTTACATTTACATACGCATGCCTTTTCATTTTCTATCTTTTAAAAATCTAAATCTTTCAAATTATTTAATTGATTTCTTGTTTTATTTCTAGCATTGTCAAGTTATTTTTTGCGTTTAGTTTGAAAATTTTCGTTTTAATTTTCTCTTTCACAAACCGATCATTCCATATCAATTAAGACTTGGCTTGAGGCAGATAGTTGAGCAGATCACATCTGGTCATTTTAGTGGTGGGGCGGATCACAGTTTTGGATCGACGAGTGGTTATGAGGGGAGTTTTAGAATTTCAGAACAATATGGCGGTTTGTGGTTTTTTTTGTTAAGTTTTGTTTTATTTCGGTTTTTTAATCTTTTCCGTCTAACACGATCATTTCTGCATGCAACTCATTTAGTTTTTGTAGAGTTAACATAGTCTCGGTTTTAAAATAGTCTCACATTTTTTTTATTCATTTTTCATCAGCCTAATTTTGTTAGAAGCATTATTATTCTATTAGCATTTCATTCAATTTACAAACTTTCAAATTTAATCCATATATTGCGCGAATTTTGAAGAAATAAAACATCAATTTTCCGTTCTTAACAGCTATAAACACGCCACTTTTACAATAATTATAAAACTTCAAAATCCCAAAAGCCACCACCCGCCTAAAAAGAAAAAAAAACCCAAACCAATCACTACTTCCCACAACTCCAGGCGACTCCAGTCTTCGTATGAGTCAGCTGATAAAAGGCGAAATGTCAGCCAAGACAACCTACCAGAGAAGTGCCAAGGGGCCCATCTCGATCGCAGAATGTGCCACAGATGGAAAGTTCATCACCATTGAAAACACAGGAAGAAAGGTTAATCAGTGGAAAAGGGGCTGGGGCAAAAATTGGAAATTGGCCACGGGTATAAGATGCATACGCTCTAACAACTCAGAATATTTGTCTTTTTAATTTAATGTAAAAAGGGTTGTAGCTATAATTGGTCTGATTGAGAAAAAGCTGGTTGTCATTGTGTTGTAGCGTCTGAAACCAAATCACGAGAGGCGTTCTACAAGTTCTACGATACGATACGGTTGTTGTAAGTTTTTAAAAACCAGTATAATGATCTTTCAACTCGGTTGGATTTTTGAGGTAACCGAAAATATGTATTTAAAACGTTTGTATTTTATGCGAGTTGATTAAAACTTACCAGAAAATCGACAAAGGATTTAGATATTAACCAAAGTTTTATTTATAATGTGTCTGTATATACAACACATGCATGTTGTACGAACGTAAACATTTATGCCAAATTTTATGAATCTTAGCGTTTAAAGAAAAATTAGAAGTTTAAATTTATAAAACTAAATGTGTCAATTTAGAAGAAAGAGTTTGAGTAAAGGCTTGAGAATAATTGAATCAAATGTTGGATGTCAAACACGTAGCCTAGAGTTGTAAGATGTTTTTATGAGATTCGATAAGAATTGTAGCAATTTAGAACCAAATTTTTGAATCCACTTTTGACCACCAGCTTTATCATCACCATCATAATTACCACCACAACTACAACCACCACTACTACTTCACCACTATCATTACAATCCCTGTCACTACTACCACTATCGCTAAAACCGCCACCACTACAACCACTAACACTTTGACCACTGATCAATACAGCCACTGCCACAACAAACACTTTTTTTCAATCAGGACGAGTCTCTGGCAGGTTTCAAGATCAAACGAAACATTGACGGGCTGGACAAGACTGAATATGCCTTTGATAAGAACTACGTGCTGAAAAGTGGTGCTAAGGCTAAAGTCAGTATTTCATGTTTTTGTTGCATTTACTACATTTAAAAAGAACAAAAAGTAAATAAAAGTATAAAAAATAAATAATAAAATAAATAATAATTAATATAATTATTTTTCAGATATGGGGACAAGGGCAGAAACCCTTGTCAGCCTCAGCCAGCGATTTGGAAGCCCCTTTTCAAAACTGGGGCCTGGGTGCTAACATCACAACCAAACTCTTGAGTCAAAATGGAGAGGTACGTTTGATGGGATTGGCTAAAAGGATTTGGTTGTTTAAATGTGATTGGCCGGTGGTTTTGGTTGTCTGAATGTGATTGGGTAAATCGATTTGGTTGTTTAAATGTGACTGGCTGGTGGTTTTAGATGTCTGAATGTGATTGGTCAAAATGATTTAGCTGTTTAAATGTGATTGGCTGGTGGTTTTGGTTGTCTAAATTTGATTGGCTGATGGGTTGGTAATAGAATGGATTTGTTGAATTTAATTATAATATATATATAAGTTTTTAACTTAATCAAATTATGAAATATTCATTCCCTAAATATACAAACAAACAAACGAACGAACGAACGAACAGCAAACAAACAAACAAACAACAAACAAAACCCATAGGACCGTGCCACACATGTTCAAAAGACAGTTTATTCCTCCTAAATTACCACCACTTCTGGTGCTACCTTACGTTCAGAGAAAAAAAAGCTTTTTTGATTCAAAATTATCAAACATGAAACTCATTTTCAAATTTCTTCTCAAAGTTGTAATTAAAATTCCAAATTACCAAGTTTTATGTAATTTTTTTTCTTTAGTTAGAGTAAATCGAACATTTCTTTTTAAACTTATTTTTTATACTTTTTCGTCGTTTTCGAAGTTTCGAGAAGTTAGATATTAAGCAGTATTTTATAACTTTATTATAACTTAATGGCTTTAAATTTTGAAAAAGATATTATTTTGCAATAAGATATAAACAATTTATTTATTTGTAATAACAATTTATTTTTTAATATATTTATTAAATTTGGGTAAAATAACTAATTAATGAGTTAGCTTGTTTTTATTGCCAAGAACATAGATATTAGATGAAATAATAAGCCAAAACAATAATATTTTTAACTATTTTTACTTTGTTTCATTTTAATTATCGCTAATTTTCATTTTTCAGTAAAACTGATTCTTTGAACATCCGACTTGAATTTATTTGTATATATAAGGGGGGCTTTGGTGTTATCTATGATGTCTTCCAGTTGATATTATCAATAGTCTGTTGGTGACTTTGGTACTCTTTAGACTGTTCCTCTGCAATTCATTGTAACATGGAGTTAGTACTGGAGTAATAAATAAAGTTCAACAAAATCAGAATGTTTGTCAGTCTGATCATTGGTTTCAGTGAATGTGATCACAGCACAAAGTGGTCGGAGAGTCTTTTTTGGTTGGCTCATGATTGCGTTCATGGTGATGGTACAAATTATTTGAAGGAGGTGTCTTGTTAGAGAACTGAAGTTGATTTTGGACATGTATTGCTTCGGTCTCATCAGAAATGATGGTAATTCCTAAGACAAGAACAAAACTGAGTGACTAATATGCGCAAGCTGCTCTGCCGAAAATATGGAACGATCTTCCAACAACATTGAAAACAAAAATATAGAATTCTAAGTGTGCAACTGAATTTGGGTGTCGTCGTTTTTAATGAAATATAGCTATGAATGTTTAAAGCTCTCTTAGGCCAGATATTATTCAACCACATAGCTGGAGAATGATAAATGAGAAAAATGGCGAAAGAAAAGAGAGAGGGAGAGAAAGAGAGAAAAAGAGAAAGAGATAGAGAGAGAGAGTAGAATGAGATGAGAGTGCTCAGAAATTAAAAATTTCAAAGGTTTCAAATCCGAGTAGGATGTAACAATGTGATAAAAAAAAGGATTCGAAAGATGGGAGATTGGTTGAAAAATTATAAGTTTTCCAAAACAGATTTATATATATCGGTCATTGAATGGTTGAATGGATATTCACAAAAAATTTACATAAACGTAAATACTTCTACTACTACTGCTACTACTACTACTACTACTACTACTACTACTACTACTACTACTACTACTACTACTACTACTACTACTACTACTACTACTACTACTACTACTACCACTACTACTACAACTACTACTACTACGACAACGTAAACAACAACAATTTCTATTACTACTAATAATAGCAATAATAATAATAATAATAAATATTGAGAGAATATTAACCACAGTTAGGGTAACAATTACAAAGGAACTGCTATTACCTCTCACATCCGGGTTTCTCTCTCTCTCTCTCTCTCTCTCTCTCTCTCTCTCTCCCTCCCTCTCTTTTGGTAATCTTTCACTTTACGTTTATTTGTTTATTCTCAGTTCATTCAAATCATCATAGGATCTTTATCTAAAGAACAGTTAGGGTTTGGGTTACCATCCTATAAACCATAAACAAACAAATAAACACATACAAAAATTATGTGTAAAATTTAGAAGATGTCTGCTAGAATAGATTATCAAAGATTACCAAACCAGCCAATAAATGAACGTGAGTTGAAAGATTATCACTCTTTTTTCTTAGATTCTTTACTCTGTTTTTTCTCTTCTTTACTCTCCTTACTTTCTTCTTTCTCTCTCATTCTCTCTCTCTCTTTCTCTCTCTCTCTCTTTCTCTATGTCTCTTTCCATTTTTTGTTTAAGTTTTACTTTTTACTCATGCAAACCCGCACTGAGAACAACAATGTGACACGCAGGCGTCGAAACACTGGCTTGTCATGTAAAACGCATTAAAATTGTTTTACTGGTATTTTTAAATTTCATCTCTCTCTCTCTCTCTCTCTCTCTCTCTCTCTCTCTTTCTACTCTTACTTTTTTTTATTCACTAATTGTCATTTTGATCGTCAGTCTATCTTAGCGTGTTTTATAATGCTCTTTACTTTTATAAGAAAAGTTTAAAGCAGATGTGAAAAATTTGCACGTAACTTGTGGCGTATTTTGTTGGTTCTACTTCGCTAATACCTTTTTGGTACCTTCTCTCTCTCTCTCTCTTTCTCTCTCTTATCTCTCTCTTTCTTTTTCCGTCTCTTTCTCTCTATTTTTCTCACTCTCTCTCTTTCTCCGTCTCTCACTTTTTCTAACTGTAATAATAATAACAATAGCAGTAACAATAAAAATAGCCATTATTATTATCACTATCATCATCATCAT